TTAGGTTCGTTCTTCTTTTTGCACTTGTTAGGAAGAACCGCGACAAAAGCACAACGAATGAAAAAGCTACTTCCTCTGACAATTCCTGAAAATGCTTTTGAGTTTAAAAGCCAATGTCCTGAAAAAAACTGATCAACCGTCAGAATAGTCGGTTGTTGCTCTGAAACACTTAAAAAACATGGTGAAAAAAGCTAAAAAATATAATGAGGGTTGGGTTTTCCACATTACCTTTGCTTATGCCAATTCCCCCAAAAAATTGTGGCGCTTTTTAAAAAAACATAAATAAGGACACAAACAATTTTTCTGTTATCTATTGTGAAGGATTATTTGATTCACAGCAAAACAGAGAAACACTTGAAGCGAGCAGAAAAGAGCGGAAAGAACTAAATAGGTGCTTTGCCCACAGGTCAGCCTGACCGTGCAAAAAGAACACCCTTAAGAGGCACATTCAAACACAAGGCGGATGTGGAGGGAAAAAACTGCAACTGTAAAATAGAAACAATTCCAAATATTTTGCCCCGCATCTGAACTTCTATACATCTTAAAAACCACATAACTGCTAAAAGTGGAGTGTTGCCCACAATATCTCCACTATTGACCAGACTAACAGTAAATCAAGCGTTGGACCACTCGTCCAGTCCCGCCCTGCTGGGGTGCCACCAGATGGTGACAGTGTACCGTCCCACCAATCACCTCCTGCCATTCCACTAGCCCTGTTTTCTGCTTCAGTTTGTGTGTTCCCATTGGTGTGTTACTTAGCACTGCTATATTAAAGAACTGGGATGGCCGAGTATATTGAAACGAGACCCACACACACTAGTGATGAGACGTTTTAGTTCATACTCATTTGCACTAGTACAGTGGGGCAAAAAAGTATTTAGTCAGCCACCAATTGTACAAGTTCTCCCACTTAAAAAGATGACAGATGCCTTTCATTTTCACCATAAGTAAACCTCAACTATGAGAGACAAAATGAGGAGAAAAAATCCAGAAGATCATATTGTCTGATTTTTTAAGAATTTGTTTGCAAATTATGGTGGAAAATAAGTATTTGGTCAAAAACAAAAGTCCATATCAATACTTTGTTATATACCCTTTTTTGGCAATGACAGAGGTCAAACGTTTTCTATAAGTCTTCACCAGGTTCTCACACACAGTTGCTGGTATTTTGGCCCATTCCTCCATGCAGATCTCTTCTAGAGCAGTGATGTTTTGGGGCTGTCGTTGGGCAACACGGACTTTCAACTCCCTCCAAAGATTTTCTATGGGGTTTAGATCTGGAGACTGGCTAGGCCACTCCAGGACCTTGAAATGCTTTTTACGAAGCCACTCCTTTGTTGCCTGGGCAGTGTGTTTGGGATCATTGTCATGCTGAAAGACCCAGCCACGTTTCATCTTCAGTGCCCTTGCTGATGGAAGGAGGTTTTCACTCAAAATATCACGATACATGGCCCCATTCATTCTCTCCTTCACACGGATCAATCGTCCTGGTCCCTTTGCAGAAAAACAGCCCCAAAGCATGACGTTTCCACCCCCATGCTTTACAGTAGGTATGGTGTTCTTTGGATGCAACTCCGCATTCTTCTTCCTCCAAACACGACGAGTTGCGTTTTTACCAAAAAGTTCTACTTTGGTTTCATCTGACCATAGGACATTCTCCCAATCGTCCTCTGGATTATCCAAATGTTCTCTAGCAAACTTCAGACGGGCCTGGAGATGGACTGGTTTAAGCAGGGGGACACGGCTGGCACTGCAGGATTTGAGTCCCTGGCGGCGTAGTGCGTTACTGATGGTAGGCTTTGTTACCTTGGTCCCAGCTCTCAGCAGGTCATTCACTAGGTCCCCCTGTGTGGTTCTGGGATTCTTGCTCACCGTTCTTGTGATAATTTTGACCCCACGGGGTGAGATCTTGCGTGGAGCCCCAGATCGAAGGAGATTATCAGTGGTCTTGTAGGTCTTCCATTTTCTAATAATTGCTCCCACTGTTGATTTATTCACACCTAACTGCTTACTGATTAGAGATTCAGTCTTCACAGCCCGGTGCAGGTCTACAACTTTGTTTCTGGTGTCCTTCGACAGCTCTTTGGTCTTGGCCATAGTGGAGTTTGGAGTGTGACTGTTTAAGGTTGTGGACAGGTGTCTTTTATACTCTTTATACGAGTTAAAATAGGTGCCATTAATACAGGTAACGCGTGGAGGACAGAGGAGCCTCTTAAAGAAGAAGTTACAGGTCTGTGAGAGCCAGACATCTTGCTTGTTTGTAGGTGACCAAATACTTATTTTCCACCATAATTTGCAAATAAATTCTTAAAAAATCAGACAATATGATCTTCTGGATTTTTTCTCCTCATTTTGTCTCTCATAGTTGAGGTTTACTTATGATGAAAATGACAGGCATCTGTCATCTTTTTAAGTGGGAGAACTTGCACAATTGGTGGCTGACTAAATACTTTTTTGCCCCACTGTATGTCTAAATTTCCTCATGCACAAAAGCTATTTAACTTGGTTGGCATTCACAGAGAGAAAAATGAACCCTTGGGTTGTATGGATTTCGTTTAGATTTTCAGGGGGGATAAATGGAAAAACATCAGTTGATGTGTTTCTTACCTCTTTGCTGCGATTAGAAGTGAATGTTTGCTTTCTTCCGTAGACTCTCACTTATCCAACTCTTATATAATCTGCAGTGTTTTTTCTTCAATTGGATCTAAAGTACAAACAAAAAAAAAGACTGGTATCAGTCCTATTTTTAGAATTTGAAATGTGAAGCAGTAAGATGTTCCATAGAAATTCTGATAACAGATCAACAAACGTACCCAAAGCTGCGTTCCCCTCTCTGGCCGGCCACGTCTGTCGGAGCCCGGCTCCGTTCTCGGCTTTTTGCGTCCACCATGATTGCAACATTTTTATCTCAACTTTAGCTCTTTTCATAAAAGCTGCTGGGATGTTACTGTCTGTTCATTTGGCTCTCTGGTGCACTGACAAAATGGCCCAGATGTTTTTTTGTGATTTTTTTCTTTCTCCGCTTCCTCCAGTGACCTGATTGTGCCACATAAGTCTTTCAGAAAGTTGAACCACTTTGTTTTTGCCTGTCTTGTATGTTAATTGGTTTAATGATATCTCCACATTAGTATAGATGTTGTGTTATATTTTGATTCACGCTATTGCTTTTTCATACATTATATGTATTTATTTTTATGGGACATTTGGTAATATAACAGTATCATTTTGAAGCCATTCAGATACTCAAACAGCTTCCCACAGCAAGTTGGAAGGGGGGGGGGGGGTAGTTTTTGATTGCAAGAAGACTTCAGGGACATCAGGGAGAAAGGAAACAACTTTGCCAATAGCTCCGACCTTGCAAAGATTAAGATGAGTGGACTGTCCAGTTGTTTTGTAGTCCGATGCATTCACATGACAGGCACGCATCTTCCTGGATAATATGTTATTTCCCAAAAATTGACACAGATTAAAGTCAATTACAGAACCAGAGGGTTATCCGTTTTCTTTGATTAGATTATGAAATGCCACCCAATGGTAACATTCTTTCCTACTTTGTCTTGTCACATTTTGATTGCCACAAATTCTTTGATATACTAATAATAATCATGTCCAATGTTCCCTATACCACTACCATCTGATACAACTGCTATAACATTACAAAATATTTGTTATTTCAGCACCGAACCAGTCCAACCAACCCCATTCCTCGTAACTCAGCTGAAAATATGCCCCCACACACACACACACACACACACTTTTATTATATAATTATTAAGAAATAGAACATTTAATGGCATGGGACAGGCAGTAGATAATTTGAGGGTTTTGAAATTCTATTCACTGATTTTGAGTTTTCCACATGTAATTTAGACACCCTTAGTTTAGTCATAGACGTGGATTTGTCTGCATAAATGTAACCTTAACAGAAAAAAGCAAGTCGAGAAATGCCCATTTAGTGGGATTCACTAGAGGACCTTTGTAGCCTGTAGCTGCACTTGTTAGTCATCTGAGCTAGGAACAGAACTGGGACAACGCATGTGTCGTTTTACAGAAAAGGGTCCAAAAGGGGTTTCTTAAGGAGCTGGAGTCCTTATTGAGCAAGAACATTGTCATTTACTCATTTCTGAGTGAAACAGTTCAATTGGAATCTGTACATTTGTTGTTCTTAACTGACAGTAGCATCTTTTTCAAATACCGACTCATTTACGTCTTTGTTACGTGTTTTCTTTAGGTACCTGTAGGATTTTGAAGTTGGCAAAGTCATTTTGTCTAAACATGACTGCTTAGGCAGCGCAAAGGGAGAGAAAAAAGACTAAAAAATAGGGGGGGGAACTCCTTATAGTAACCCTAAGAAGCCTGACCCAAGCAGAAAATGTATTTAAAAAAATGAAGGCCTTATTTGGCTCTGTAGCTAAACATAAATATAAATTAACAGCAAAATATTCATGTTTTTCTTTAAGCAAAGTTTTGCCTATATGTGTTTTGCATGTCCAGGAAATTTTCCCACATAAAAAGTGTATTGGTCCTTTTCAATTTGAAGAATCAGAATGAGAGAAGACCTATTCATTTGCACATGTGAACAGGTTTTGTTTCTTATTCATAACCGATGTCGTGGTCCCAATCGGTCTGCAGACATCTGAAAACAGCAGTTCAGTGACCCGGCTGCCAAAGCCCCTCAGCCACAGAAGAAAACTGCTGAGTCACTGGTTGGTCATCCTTCTGGTCCACTCAGCAGAAAAAAATATATACTGTTTACATTTGTCTGGTTTATATAGCGCTCAGAGTATTAAAAGCTTGATAGGTTAGATTAATTTAGATTATTTTAGATGAATTTAGAGAATTATTCACCGGGCCATTTGTTTGTGGCATAAGTTCCTCCTGTTTACTTTAGCTGACCAGCTCATCTCGTTAAGCAATATTATGCAGTGGACTTTTCTTTTATTTACTTTTGTCCCTATAAATACGGAAAAAATCATTCTTCTCACAAAATGCAATGATTCTCGATAGAAAACAGGTCTTTGATCAATTCATAAAGTCTGCATGATGCATTTATAGTCTTTTTTTTATTCAGAAGTTAGGAGAGTGAAACTAGTAACAACCTGTCCAACCTTATTTGTCAATTTTCTTGTTTTCCATAGTGCCTTCATCAGGAAATGAATATGTCACGTGGAGACTGACAGAATAAATATATGAATTAGACCATCAGCATTACATGACACAAAACTGCAAAAGCCGTGCATCCTTTTTCACACCGTCTTTATTTTCGAGTGCAGCGATCGTTCCAGACTTGACATTTCTGACGTTGCTACTGGTTGGTTTTTCCTTCAGCGCCGGTGAAGGTCTTGATCATGTCGATGAGCGTCTTAACCCCTTCCCCGCTCCTGAAAAACTTGTCAATCAGAATCCAGTCGTTGGAGCCCATTGTGTTGAAGCTGTTGGTCAAATCAATGGTCGGTGCATCTGGGTGAAGAGACGGATCTGGGCAGAAACCTGAGAAGCGAAGGGTTTAGTAGTTTTATTATCCTTTTTTTCCCCCTCTTTACTGGAAATCACAACGTGTGAATAAACTGAGCTTTTCTTTTCTTTTCTTCAGGTCATCAAACTAATAATCGATTGCCAATTTTAGTTACCATTACTATTTTTTTAATATATAATCAAGCTGGTTAAAGCTCTTTTTCTTTCTTTGGTGAGCAAAAGGGATGAGACAACAGTAGGGGGTGACGATTGTTTTGTTTTCTTTAAGTCTACCCAAGGCAAAGATGGATGGGTGTTCACATTCAACCTTCAATTTTAACCAATCAATTAGTTTGACTCCAAGCCAGTCTAAAAGACAGAAAGACCTGGTTAGTTGAATTTTCTGCTCCTATATATAGGATTTCAATCAACACAAATTGGACCATATTCCGATTGAATTGTTGTGATTTGTCACTGTACACGTTCAATTGAATTCACCATCCATTATTGTAAACCACCTATTCCCCGCAGGGGGAACTGGAGCCTATCCCAGTGGTCGAGGCGGGGTACACCCTGGATGGCCCCCTAGTCCATCGCAAGACAACCACGCACTCACAAGGGCAATTTGGAATGTCCAAACAGCCTAATATGCAGGTTTTTAGACAGTGGGAGGAAGCCAGAGAAACTGGAGAGAACCCACGCAGACACAGGGAGAACACACAGACTCCACACAGAAAGTCCCTGGTTCCCTTAGGGACTTGAACCCAGAACCTTCTTGCTGTGAGGTGATGATGCTAACCACAACACCACCAGTAAGCATTATCTTACCGTCGAAAGCTAAGGTAAAACATCTGTCCATATTCACATTAAAACACGCTGTAGACATTTCAGCATAGGAGACAAATAAAAAACTGCTCTAAAGGAAAAAATCCTGCCACCTCATTCAGTGCTTGTACCTTTTTCTGGATCCATCACAGCAGCTGAGGGTAGGCTCAGACACTCCAACTGCCTCGAAAACTCTGTCAGTTCAGCGGCAGAGATCTTTGATCGCCGACCTGAAAAACAGAACAAGTTTAAAACAACAAACAAAAGCCCTACTGTATTCATTCATTCAGCAGAAATGTAACATTCGGGTCCAAAGAGGAAAGATATCAGCTGTGGTGAGGCAACTAGAATTCAACATGAAGCAGGGAGAGTTTATTCCCAAATTGCCCCTCCTCTCAGGAGTAGACATTCGGGCAATGACTGCATTTCTAATTTCCCTGTATAAACAGTGTGTTCAGAAAAAAACATGGTGGACAGAGTCATGTTGGCAGGTGATCAGCCAGCCCACAAAACTTTAAAAAAAAAAAACTTTGACAAGAAGTGGGAATACAAAATAAGGGGGTAGTTGAATGGGAAAAACCTTTAAATAAAATGTACAGACAAGGAAGAGTGGTGAAACTTAAGGAGCTCACATACACCTGGAGGAGACTCATTTAAAAGTCTGAGTGAGAAAGCAAATACACAAAAAGGGGTGGACGTTACCTCATCATATAGCACTAGATCAAAAGGATCTATTTAAAAAAAAAAAGAGTTAAGGACATAGGAGGGGTCAAACCCCTCTCACTGTGCCAGGACATGTATGGCCTCCACCTTGTTGTGGGCTCAATAATTGACCATTGACTGTTGTACAGTACAGACCAAAAGTCTGGACACACCTTCTCATTCAAAGAGTTCAAGAGAATGCAGAATGTGTGTGAAGCAGTAATCAGAGCAAAAGGTGGCAACTTTGAAGAACCTAGAATATATATTTTCAGTTGTTTCACACTTTTTTGTTAAGTATATAATTCCACATGTGTTAATTCATAGTTTTGATGCTTTCAGTGCTAATTTACATATTTCATAGTCATAAAAATAAAGTAAACTCTTTGAATGAGAAGGTGTGTCCAAACTTTTGGTCTATACTGTATGTACCACAGTATTCTACAGTTTAATATGAGACCATCTGTATGGTGGCTAAAGCTTGGCCATAATTTGTTTATATCACGGGTCAGCGATCCCAAACACAAGAGCAAATCTGCTACAGAATAACTGTAAAAAGAAATCATTTGAGGTGCTGCTCTACCTAATAAAAGTCCAGACCTCGTTCTGATTGCAATGCTGTAAAGGCAGAACTGTGGATAAACCAAGACGAATGGACCAAAATTCCACCCTGTGAAGTTACAGACCGGTTTCATTTACCAGTGCTCAACTTTGCTGTTTTTTTCATTCTATTCCAGCATCTAATTTCGTCTTCAAAGTGCCGTGACGTGTATCTCTGTTGCCTTTGGGTAAAAGGCAGCGTACACTGTGTACAGGTCAATAGTCCACGAATACGGGGCTGGCTCTATACACTTAGAAACATATTCAAATATCTTGCCAGTGGTTATACTTGATTTGTCTGAAATTGCTGAAAAATAACGTTTTTGTTCCTGATTAGCATAATCCATCTTAGTGTGGTTGTTCTTACTGAGCAGCTGCAGACTGCTGTACGAGCTTCTTCCAAGAGTGTAGTTGGAGTACATAACCATGCAGTCGGGACACCCGGTGCTCAGCAGGACGCTGGTGGCCTCATAGGGTTTCTCTGGAGATACAGGGAGCGCACGTATAAACAGGTCAGAAGGTTCCAATCTATTAGCGTGGTTCAATGTTGTTGCAGGTTCCTCTCACCCGAGTGAAAAGTGCTGTTTTCCAAAGTGAAGCTGGATGTGACGCTGAAGCATCGCCCCATCCTTCATTAACAGCAGGGAGTGGAAAAAAAATTAGTTTATGCTTAACGCAACCAGAAAAGCAAAGGCTTTTTGATTACATTTTGGTATTTTGAAAAACAGTGAGGACATCTATCCGGTTAGCAGCGGTCAGGTTCCACCAGCTGGTTTCCGCAAACATCTTAGTCAGCACTTTGGATCCGGGGAGGTTCGTGCTTTCGGCGATGTACGTCCATCTCCCCAAAAGCTGCAAGAAATTAGGTGTTTTCTCAGCTTCACGAGGGGTCGCGTGGACGATCGTTTTTAGAAAGTAAAGCAGATGAAGAGTGTCTCACCTGTTCCCGTCCTGGGATTTCCAGACGTTGGGTTAGACTTTCGCAGCTGGTCACGGGAGCTGACTGTCCAAAAGACAGAAGGCTGAACACAGCCAGAGAGGCATAAACAAACTCCATGGTGGCCCTCAAGCTGACTCTGTTTGCCTGGCTTTTATGGCAGTGCTTCACAGAGGTGCTTTAAAGTAGAAAGGCCCATCCCACCCCCTAGCCCCCACCCGCATATATCGAGCCCTTGTTCGGCTGTTTACTTTAGTGTACACACAGATTAAAAAAAAGTAATGCTATGATTCGATTGATATTTCTATATTTGTACAAAAAATTAATAAGTAAAGTAGTTATTGATCTAGAAATCTGAACTCGTGACCAGACAACATCTCCTCCAGGCAGCTGTTTGACATGATATGACAAGTCAATAATGATGAATTTGGCTGAGTTAGCATTCTGAAAATAAGTAAATACAGTAAGTGCCTTGAAGTTGCATTAACTAGTACTAGATTTTAAAGAGGAGCAACAATAATTGCCGCTGGATCATTTAATCATCCGTCCGTCCATTTTCTATACCGCTTATTACAAACGATGTCAAACTAAACCGTTTTCTGATCTTCACATTTCTTTATCTTTGTCAAAGTGAAAGTCACAGTCAAATTTCTTTGTACAGCCAAATTCATGGACAAAACCTTTCAAAGTGCTTTACAGAACATAAAAGCGTTACGGGGGAGAGCAACAATTCCATGCATATTTCATGCATAGAGATGTGAGAAAAAGGAATGTTCTCACCTGGGTTTAAAGAAGTCTAAATTTTTTTAGTGTTTGATCCCCACTGGAAGTTTGTTCCACTTATTAGCAGAATAAGGGCCAAATGCTGCTTGTCCATGTTGAGTCTGGACTCTGATCTGGACTATATTACCTGTTTCCTAAGAGCTCTGCTATGTTTATATTCTCTGACCATATCTTTGTACCTCCTGGAAAAGGATTCTTTTAGCATCTTCTTCTGATGTCAGGAAGGACTTATTCTAATTAATTTGGGTTATGTGACTAGTTATAGCTTTCGCTCTTTGACCTGGAGGTTACAGTCCTTAAAAAAATGGTACAAACTACCAAATTTGCCAAAATGATTTAAAGGTTTAGTTTTAGATTAATATCAAGTAACATATAACACCATTTACAGTAAATGGTGAGAAACCAGGACAAATCCTACATTAAATAATGAATGAAACAATATTTTGAACATTGCCATACAATTTAATTCTCCTTTGCTGTGCCAAAACCGTTGAAAATTAGATCTATTAGCTAAGCAGCAGTTGATATTCTTTCATATCTGGAACTTGTTGATTGAAGGTTGTCTAAAAAGCACCTCCAAAGATCGAAACTATTTCTGGTCATGACTAGTCATTAGTTTTTTTTCCTGGGTGGGTTTCAGATCAGGCACCTGGTCAGGAACATGAATACCTTCTAACTTGCTAAGAGTTTTTATCAACACACGGACATGATATGATCTTAAAAGCCGGAGTCTGGCACCCTTTTTACTGATAGTTCATCATGAACAGGCCAGGTCTGAATGATCAGTGAGAGCTCTGTTGGAGTTTGCTCACAAATAAGATCAAGAAATAAACTGAGAGAGTCTTCCTGATAGGATGGACATTCCTAACGTGGTCCATGGTCTTTGGAGGCACGACGGTATGAAACCAACACGACAACTATACACAAAATATCCCGAGAGTATCAGTGACTTCTGAATCTTAAAGTGAGGAGGTTGTAAAATAAGTATTTCATCATCAACTATTTCAGATGTTCCTTCACGGACTTCTCTATCAAATTCTTGTTTTTAGCTGCCGTCAGCTTCAACTTGAGGAATAACATGTTTGTTTTTAGGATGATTTGATGGTAGAAATTGATCCCAGGCTCGGTGCCAGCGCGCTCCGACAGAGGTCATAGCACTGAAACTATTAACCTACTGGAAAATTCTATAAAGGCTTGAGGCGCTGTGCACGTCCCAACTCCCAACAGCCAGTTATCTGCCGTCATGTTGCCTAACGTAGTTGAGACTCCCAACTGCTCCAGCTGCAAGGTGGCAGGAATCAGAGCTCACCCACAGGTGTGTTTGTGATCAAGAGATTTTGGAAATCGTTAGACAGTCAGCAAGGACATAGAAGAAACTGTAATGATGTTGATGATGATTGTGATGTCATGAATTGGGGTTATCTGCCACAAAATCTAAAAGAAGCTGTGATGACTACTCTGCCATAAGACCAGTATAAGGGGGGAAAGTTTAACTGTCAACGGTATTTTGGGACAAAATTAGCCAGCTGCTTCAGGTTTGACTTTGGATTGTGTATCTTAGATGTGATTTTAAACCAGGAAGCCCATGATAAAGAAAACAGGTTAGACTGTGGCACCATCTTCAGGTCAGGTCTCAGAGACTGGAGCACACAAAATGGTCACTAGAGATGGTAAAGGGATGTTAAGGTATGCTAAATAAAGAAGTAGTGTACGTAGTCGGGAACTCGGATCATAGCGAACTTTTGGAGTTCTGATAAAACTCCTGTAAATGACAGCTACCCAAAATGGCAGAGTAGCTTAACTGCTGTCATTATGGACCCTTAACAGTGCCCTTCAGTCCTTTGATTAAGCATTATTGGCCGCTTTCGTTGTTAATAACGATAGCATTTGTATAAATATCAGCCACATAACGAACACCAGTGAGTTTAGCTTGAACCATTTTAATGTTTAGATTCTTACAAAGATTGAAGATTCTTTGATTCTCGTTTCTTCTGATTAAAAAATGAATAATCTCTGTTTCTGCCAGCCAGAGCAACTATGAGATCTGAAAAACCTGATCAAGAACTAGCTCAGAGAATGGTTTTGCGTAAAAAAAAAACCCATAAAAAAAATTTACTTCTTTGGTATTGCTGGATGCAACTTGACCTAGCTTTGACAGGTATTGCCACAACAAATTATTATAAAAATGATAGTTTCTGCTCATTTATTTTATTACAACCTCCCCATCCCCCTAAAAAGAGAAATAAACATTTAGCGCAGGTCCAAACGAATCAGACATCAGTTCAAAAACATGTCAAAAATAGCATCCAGAACTCTTGCGACCCGATGTCCCATCTTGGCCTCGAATATGGAGTTGAGAGCAGTGAGCCCCTCCAGCGGCGCAATGTCATCCGGGCACATTTCTGTGTACACGCAAAGATTAGACATGTAACAAACCAGCAGGGCTGTGACCGCAACGCGAATGGACGAGAAAAGGCACGTAAAGGTTCCCCACCCTCGTCGGGGTCCATGATTATAGGCGGCGGCATCCGGAGACATTCGGCCTGTTTCTTTAACATTTCCATGGCGGCGGGTGGAACCGTTCTGCTCCTGCCTAACAAAAAACACACAGACGTCCAATTTCAGCGTGAAACGCACGCACACACAAAAACTAAACAAAAAAAATACAAAGGTACAATGTGGAGAAAAGCTATTCGCAGGTGTAGAGCCACGGTTGGAGTCAAACACAGCTTGTTTCTCTGTGTCTCTTGTGTCTCTTACTGAACATGAGGAGACTTTTAAAAGTATCTCCCCCAGAGACGACGTCTTCGTTGGCCACCAGACAGTCGGGGCAGGCGTGGGGCAGGTAGACCTCTTTGAGGAAGAAGGGTTCCTCTGTACAAAACGCACACACAGAACACACCAGCTGAGCAACACCTGTGACTCATGGCGGATGATCTCCCGGGTTGGGTTTTTTTTTCCCCCTACTTACCAATTAACATGGTGTTGTTCTCAAAGATCACATCATAGGCGTAGCTGGAACATCTGCCATATCTGCGGGGATGAAAACGACCAGGAAACTTTTTAGAATTAGATTAGTTAGATATCTAAATGAGGCATCTAAGAAAAACTTTTGATGCGCTTGTATTATGAACTGAGCAAATCACAAGACGTTAGAGATCAACGTCGACGTCAGTGGTTTTACATTCTGTGACTCTGGACGAGATTGAGGACGTTGCTCCGGGGGGTTTGGGTCAGGTCCACCCAGGCGCTGGTCATGAGGAGGGCGAGGGAGCGGCTCCCCGGGATGTCCGAGCTCCCCCCGATGTACTGCCACCGTCCCAGGATCTGGGGTCCGAGCACAGACCGCACACAGGCCTTAGTGACAGCGTCTCCTGACAGCTAGCTTCCCTTTTCCCATGCACCTTCTCTAGCCAAACTGGGCCGTTTTGAGGTGTAAAGCTAGAATCTAGTTTTACTTTTTAAGTCGATTGCTTCCGACAAATCAACACACACATCACGTTTGTTTTGCAATACATGGTGGAATATATCTAATTTACCTACAAGTCTCTACAACTGAATGTATTTTATCAGCACTCTTCACTTTTGATCTATTGAATCAATGATTGTTTTATTTTGTTGAACTCATTTTTATTATTACTAATTTTCTTTATCTTTATTTTCTGCTTTTAAACTCTTGCTTCGCCTTTACAAGAAAATCTGTCAACAGATAAACAAAGAACATTAAATGGGGTGACAGGATAGACTGCCGGGGATGAGGAATGTGAACAATCTTAAGAAAAACGGCGGTATTTGTTGTTAATATTGGACTTAACCCCAGCAGCCTCGATTCTCTAATCTCACTTTGCTGCCATTCTTGATTCAGAATGTGTTTTTTTTGTCTGTTTTCGTGCCGTAGACTGGGTGTTTTATGATGCAAAGAAAGGCAAGCGGTGACTTACTTCTTCGTTGCTGATGGTTATTGGCTTCATCAGCGCGTCACAGTGACTCAGAGGGGCGCACCGACCCAGTGAGACCAGACTCAACAGCAGGACGGCCACCGGATTCATGGCTTCCATGGCTCTGTTGCTCTCTTCTCACACTGCTGCACACTGTTGGTGCCGACAGCGTTTCCCTCTGGACGCATTTATTCACGATCCAGGGCTGATATAACCAAAGTAAACAACTCACTGGCAGGGGGAGGAGGAGAGGGGGCAGACTTTGGCCAGCGGTTTAAAAGGGCTGATCCCATTACATGGGGGCTGAGAGGTTGTCATACACCCAATCACAGAAAGCCCCCAACTGTACTTTAGAGACTGGTCAGTGGGGTGGTACCCTCAAAAATCCTGCTATTATACTATTTTTGAACCTAAGTGTTCCTTTTAGGGCCTTTTATAGTAAAAAAAAGTACCTTGGTGTCCATATGTTCCGTATTTTTGACAGTATATGTAGTATTAATACTCTATAATTAATAGTCAGTGTTTTCTGTTGTAAGGAACTGCGATTTAGATGTGACTCGATAACAGGACGAAAGGGATGTCTATGTCAGTATTTATCCGACAGCGGTGTTAGTTTCGGAAATTAGGTTTAAAATCTTTTTCTTTTTTTTTATGTTCGCAGAATTGTAGTATAGCATCACGTAAACGTTCAAAGTGCAAGCGGTTGACTTCTGAATGAGCTTGTTTCAAACCTCGGGCATTCTGTATAGGAGGGAAGAACTGGAGGTGAACAGCAAATTAGGATGATAAGTCTTAGAAATAAAGAGGGAAAGTGGAAGGAAAAAAAAACAGAAAGAAGCAGCAGTTTTATTTTGGACATGGAGCACCGAGTGGAGACGCCGAAACAAGAGATTTTCGAAACAACGAGGTACCGAGGCCAAACGCTCCCAGCAGAATGTTTTGTTTTTGTGCTGTTCTAAATTCAAATATTGATCTGAGGCTCATATGAACTTTGTGCTCTTCTGCTGATACAACCGCAGCTGAGGATTGAAGCCTGCAAAACAGACGAATTAGGAAAATGTGCCCACTATTTCAAAAGGAAAAGTGTTTCCCCCCCCTTTGTCAGATCCGAATGAATTCACAGCAGGCTTCAGATGACGGTAATATAATGTTTCCCAAAGCGAGGAGAAAAAATGTTTGAGTTGAATTTAAAGTCTTTCTATATAATGTGAAATACGAACACCTTTCGTTTGAAGAGAGGACAGACGGATAGAAAAACACTACGACACCCACGTTTCATTGTTCAAGTGTTGCTTTTAAGAGCTACGTTGAGTTGGCAAACTAAAGATTAACAATCACTCCTGATGTTAAGCTATTTATTCCAGAAAACAATATATATATATATATATATAAAGTCACCAAAAGACATCTTATGAAAAGTTGTTTTTTTTAATCAAAGTTAACTGACAGCGTTCTATAAATGTCTTCATATGGAACAAGAACACAAAGACATAAAAAATAACGGGGGAAAAAAAAAAAAGTATATCAGAGAGGATTATCCCAACTATACGGTGAAATCTGAGCATGACCTAATTATTACTGACGGATAGGTGGGGGGTGGGGCGGGGGGGACGTGACGGCTGTGGCCGCTCGACCTGGTGGCCCGGACCCTGACGTGGTGTTCAGGGTCAGGACGGCAGCAGGGCGAGCGAGGCGGAGAGGAGGGTGACATGATGCATCGGGGGCCCTCGCTCATTTCTTCCCCCCCTCTGATCGTAATGAAGACAAAAAAATGGAGGAGGTGGTCGCTACTCCATGGCCTCCTGGTTCTCCTGGTCGGCGCCCATATCCTCGCTGGCCTCTTTGCCCTCCTTGCTCCGCTTGCTCTTTTTGTGTTTGTGCCTCCGGTGGCTGTCGCCCTCCTCGCTGTCGTGCCGTCTCCGGCTGCTGCTGCTGAAGAGAGGGGGGGGGGAGAGGGTCAAAACTGCACAGCAGTCGGAAACAGAGAGGACCAAACCAGGAGGCTCATCAACCAGGAAGCTACATCATGGACTGGCATAAACAAAGTGAAACTGTTTTTTTCCCCTGTTTGACATTTTCTGTTCAAGGTTTGGATACATTAAACTGGAATTAGATCTATTTGTAACATCAAATCTCAATTACATATCAAGATTAAATGTTGAAAAAGAGAAGAAAAAAAAAATGAATCTTACTACTGGCTCGCAAGCTGATGCACTTTGAAAATAAAGTAAGCGTGAAGATTATTAGTTTGAATATAAATGTATGTATATCCGTATCCACCTGTCCGGTAATCTGCTGATATTAAAGGCTGTTAGTAGTGCCATGTATTCTGAGCTCATGGAAAATGAAAACTGATCCGCTTGAAAACTGATCTATATGCGATTAATGAGCTCTTTTGTTGGAGCAACTTTAATCGGCTGGATAACTTTGTCAACATCCCGTGGAGGGGAGTAAAAACCCGGCCCGCCCGGCGTACCTGCGGGAGGACTTGTGGCGTCCCTCCTCCTTCTCTCTGTGCCGCCTCTCTCTGTGTCTCTCCTCTTTCTCTCGGCTCGACCGGTCGCGGTGGCGCTCCCCGTAGCCCCGCTCCTGGTAGTCGCGGTAGCGGTAGCGCTCTTCGTCGCTGCGGGACGAAAGCATTCATTTGACTGGGTTTCCTTTTGCCGAACCGGCCCAGGTGTGGGCGGCCGGCCGCTGTGCAGACGTTCCAGATGTGTGTGTGTGTGTGTGTTTCTCTGACCTGGTGTAGCTCATCGCTGAGGGGCTGTGCTCCCGCTCCCGCTCATGTGTCCTCTCCCTGGGCCTCTCTCTGTCTTTGTCCCTTTTGTCATCCCGGCGGGAGTAGTAGTCCCAGGGCTTGGTGTTGTCCATCATCGGGGGCCACGGGGGCGGCACACCTCCGCCCAGGGGTGGCGGGTAAGCACCTGGTGACCAACACAAAAGAGGGGAATAATGCTTTGGTTGCCTTAGGTACTCTCTGCTGTGGCTGCTGTTACAAACGAGCTCGGCCTACCTTGAGGAAACGGGTATGGGGGGACAGAACGGCCATCGTAACCTCCAGAGTGGCCACTGGGGAAAACAGAGGGAGGGAAAACAGCATGTGAGAGTCTGTCCCGTCTCAGTCCACAGCCACAGAAGGTTGTGTGAACGTCACACTGTTGGACTGTACTTGCCCTCGGACACAATAGCTTTAATCATCAATATCTAAAGAACTTTTAAAAATCCAATTTATATCTTTGGAGAAAAACCCATTTGTAAAATAAGAAACCACATGGACATAACTCATAGCTCAGGGTGGCTGAGCTAAATGATATGTTGTTCGTGATATGGACAATTTCAGAAACTGACAGATGAAATCAACACTTGATCATTGTTCTTTTGAGATAAGATTTGCCATTTTCTAAAATGCCATCGAATTAGACGTAAAAGGAAATCAACTCAGAAATAACTAAATATACCAGGCTGAGGATTCAAAAGCATTTTAGAGGGAATTAAAAGAGGCAACATGATGCCTGTGTCTGTGGTCCCTCTTAATATCAGAGAACCAAACTCAAATGGGAAGCCTCTAAAAAAAAAAAAAAGAAGTAACATTACAGAAAAGGTTTCTTGTGCTAGAGACTCCATGTTTAACTGGGACGCTATTAAATCACCAAAAATACTTTTTTTTTTTTTTTTAAATCTGCACGAAGATTAAAAAAGAAAAGGAAATTAAGTTATATTACAATTTGACTTACAATGTGTGTTCTACTTTCAACTGCATTCATTTAACTGTTTGTCTTTCACTCTTTACCTTTTATTGCTCCGCTTATCCCAGCCAAACAATTTACTTCTGTAGCTATTTTTTTTCTACTTTTGCAAATCAAATCTTATTTTTATTCAAATGTTGTTTTTTTGTTTTGTTTTTAAATCAGAAAGATGTTTGTTTCTTCTTCACCTTTTTGTCCTGCAAATGGAAAATATACATTTATTTTAATCAGCTATCTTCCACACTACTATCAAGTAAAATTATATATGAGCGCACTAATTTCTAACTCAATAGATTAATTGCAAAATTATTAGGGGGAAAAAATAACGTCACATCCAGTTGGTTTCACTGTAAACATTGTTCTTCTCCTCCATTTGTCACATTCAGGATTTGCTTCTCATTCACTTTGATTGATTTCTAAAAGAGTTAAAGCAAAAGTCGAGAGTTCAAATTACATCCGTACCTGTCCATGGTGGGGATTATAGAAGGAGGGGGGCCGCTTGTTGGAGGAGGAAACCCAGGAGGAGGGACGGTAATGGGTAACCCTGGAGATGAAGAGGGAAAAGGTAAAGAACAGGACGCAAACCACAGTGGATATTAAGAAAGAACCTGAAGAAGAGATTGAGCTCACTGGGCGGGGGGATGAGAGGAGGAGCCGTGCTGACGTTTGGCGGGGGAGGGAGAAACGGAGGCGGCGGAATGTTCGGAGGGATTGGGCCCGGAGGGAAGAAAGCGGGAATCTTTGCCGGGGCTGGCTCGGCCTCTGAAGTCGTGTGCTCTGAAATCACCTGCGCGACATCAGAGGAGAGGACGCTGTGAGCAAGCAGCGAACGACCACCCCACCCCGAACATCGGGTTTTAAACCGACTGCTCCTGCTCATTCTGGTACCTGGATATTGTTTCCATCTAAGTTGTGTCTGCGTCTGCCTTCAACCCTGCTGATCGTGGCCAACTGTCCACCGATCACGTCTATGGTGCCACTCGACTTTCTGCAAAAAGAATAAATAAAAACAAACAAAGAAGTAAATAAGTAGATAGAGTCCTGATCTTTTAATTTGTCATCTTTTTTCATTTTCAAAAATAACAAACAAACAGAACACATAAAACGTTTTGGAGAAAATGTATCATTAAAACAATTCATATGAAATAATGTTTTTCTCCTTTAATGTCTGGTTTAAAATTCCAGAAAAAAACTCTCGTGCCCAAGTAAGTTGGAGTCCATTTCACATGGGATTTGAAGGCCAATCTCCAACTGTTAGACAAAAGGGCTCCAGAGCAAATCAGTGAAAACATTTAGTGTTTTTTGGAGTCCTTGGGACCCACAACATAGCATATTTTACACGGGACCTTTGTTGTTGTTTTTTTCATTTATCTTTAAAAAGCCTAATGGGACATTTCCAGATAACAAAATGGCTCATCTTTTACGGAAGAAATCCATAAAAATAAAAAAAAAGACTGCAAATGAGCATCTTTTTTTACACCCACAATTCCCCATAAGTGACAACTGAATCAGATACCTGGTGACCTGACAGGTAGCAGACTTATACAAGCTGACGGGAGATGTGAAGTCCGTCTTGGGGTGAATAGGCATACTACAGATATCCTTTTCATTTCCTGTCCTTCCCTGTTGAACCTGAGGGTGGAGAGAAGAGAAGAAAATAAGCCTTTTTGAGAAGAAGCTAAGATAAGGGATGAGCTGAGGGAAAGGCGGGGGGTGTCTCACAGTGATCTTGCTGGTCACCGATCCCACTGTGGAGACTTCCAGACCCATCCGCAGTCGCTTCTGCTTCTCGCAGTACGCCTTCCAGGTGTCTTCGTTGAAACCGTAGTTGAAGTAGTCGGACAGATCCGCTCCTGTGCGCACAAACACAAACACCATCTGTGAGATCCTCCGTAAGGGCTCTCTCTGGTTTCGCATCTGCTAGTTTCGAAAATGTATTTCTCCTGTTATTGAATCGTTGGTTAAACTAGAAGTTATTCTAAAAAAACGTTTGTGATTGTGATTTGACATTTAGCTGATTTCAGCCTTATGCACAAACAGGCGTACACACACCTGGTTTCCTCCAGGGCTTCTCCTCAAAGGACTCCATGTCCACCTCCAGCACTGGAACCCCATTAATGTTCCCGGGTGCATCCAGATCCACTCCTTTCAGCTTCGCGGCTGTTGGAACACACCAAACATGCCCATTAACAGTTTCAGTGAACAGGCGGGAAAAAGCTGAATGGGTCCATTTCCAGCTAAGAGCAGGTTCAGGCAGCAGGCACAAATACCTTGTCCATACGGTCTGGAACCTGTTGTCTTTATGTTGAGGTTAACAGGCGGAGCTCCATATGCCCTGTGGACAAATAAATACATTTTTGAAAAAAAAAACAGCTAATAGTTTGGTTTTATTAGATGGTGATCTACAATGACAGACTGATTTAATAATTTCTGTCTTTGACATGACTCCACCAACGTCTCAAGACTTTTAAAACCAAACATTTCCAATGTCTGCTTAAGGGGAGAAAAGAAGAAATATGTGAGGTACTGCAGGAGGCATCGTGTTTCAGATGAGCCGCACTGTGCTGTGTGGAGTGCTCAGGAGGCATTAAGCGATCCACAGGCAATCCCATTAAGTTGGTATCAGATGGCGGTCCTCGCTGATTTTAAACGGGGGCTGTGTGTTCCTGTACGTAACCACAACAGCACAAGCGAGCAAAGACCATCACAAAGGTCCAAATAGAGAATGACTCGCATCGAAAAATACACACGAGAGGAAAATGTTGGGAAATATCTGCCAACACTTTAGTTTATTACCTGCTGATTTTCGTTCAGTTTTATGAGCTTAGGGGCCAGCAAAGGAGGTCCCTAAAGTCTAATTTAGTGAATTCATGGAAAGTATCAAATCTGAAATAATATACATCCTTACCAAAACAAAAAAAACAAACCAAAAAAAAAACAATAAAACATTAATTTTATATTTTTTTTAAATCATCATTCTAAAACTGGTGTGGCAGTAAGTGAAGGGATTCTGAACACTTTTCATTTTGACATAAAAGCTTGGAAGAGCCGTAAAGAGGTAGGGGAATTAAGATCCCAGCAACATGACATAACTGCCGTGAAACATCTGTAAATCTGAGACGTACGTGTATTGCGGCGCTCCAGTCTTAATGTCTCCAATGATGACACGGACATCATTGTCGTCATCGTCGTCACTGTCGCTGTCACTGTCAACATTCTCACCCGTGCCCTCACCAGTGGCCTGAAAGGGGAGTCAAAATAAATAAATAAATCACAAACAAATCTAAAAGGCGCGGAAAAGCGCGGGTGAAAGTGTGAAAGTAAATAGGAACTACAAACCTCAGAGGCCACTCCGTTTCCTGTCGCGTGTGCAGCGTCATCTCCTGACGTGTCAGCAGGTGCACTGCAGATTGAACACACCGTCGCTTTTTAATCAGACACAGATAAAGAAAAACAATCGTCTACATGTCCACAAAGAGACATGTAAGTGGAGACTCTATGTCAGTAAATGGCAGCAACTGCACTGTGCCTAAGGATGGCAAATTCTGTTCATTAAAAATATATAGACTTTCCCTTTCACATTATACATCGTTTTTGCCCATGTCTTATTCTAAAAACTGAGAGAAAATAGGTCAGTGAGTTGGAAAATAATGCCTTTTTAAGTTTTGATGTACTTTCTCCTAAAGTGAATGCTCACGATTTCTACATTTGTTTGACTGTTGTATTAAACTGTATCTGAATAAGTCACATTAACTGTGTGTGATCTGAAAGGATATGTGTAGACTTTTCTATATCAAACTGCATATCTTAAAAAACAGTGGGTTCATATTGTATGTTGGTGGACAGGTATACTTTGTCATATGTATTTCTACATGATTCTCGATTTTTAATTGATTGTCACAGAATCTTTTGTGGCGGTTGGAGTGAATGTTACCCGACAGCAGCGTTCAACTTGGCTTCCTCGTCCTCCTCTTTACTCTCAGACTCATCTAGGGGGGAAAATAGTTGCAACTGTTAGTTCATCTTTTTTCTCCATGAATCTCTGTCGAATTAATTATTCAAACAATTAATTAATTTAACCGCTAAGACAATGTGTGCAAAACAGACTCCACGAGTTAACAAACTAACGCCCCTTCTGAAGCTTAGCTAAAGTCATAACGCTGCTAAAGGCCGTCAACAGTAAACTGGCGCTGCTAGCTAGGCTAGCAGGCTAACGCGTCAATTTGTTCGTGTCAAACACCGGTGCTTGTTGGCTAGCAAACCGAAAGCTGAGCAATTGGCACGCTACCCCACTCCCGTGTCTGCGAGAGTGAATTGTGTTTGTGGCTAGCATCTGCTCGTATCTACCTCCATACAGCCATTCCTCTTCCTCATCCCCAGCGCTGGCGTCAGTGGTGGCTGTTTTGTCCGCTTCCTCCGCAGACATGTTTAGCTAACGCGCAGACCTGGAACCACCGGCCGCTTCAACAGCTACAACGACAAGCTGGGACAGAACGTACAGACGCTAAACCGGAGCACGCTATCTCCCCGTAGCAGGAGCACGTAGTTTTTGTAAATAAATTACGACTTCATAGATTCATATTCAACCTCTGCGAGGCGGTGTGAACCCGGAAGAAAAGGCAGGTGGCATCCCGCTAAGGTCCGCCGTGCTTTCGCAGAAAAAAAAATAGCGCCCCCATCTGGACAAGATGAACCAGTGTTCTTTCAAATGTTGGTCATAGGTCGTGTGCTAACTGACAATCAACTGAATTTTGGCAATCCTTTGTATGTTAGCTTTATCTATCTACTTTGCCCACATTTACTACGTTTCTTTTAAATGTATTAAATAAATCAACTCATAAAGGCATCTGACCTCCTTTTTTGTATGTTTACCATCAACATGTGCATGTTTCTGTTTATATCTATCCTCTTAGGAAGTTCAAGGATGTTCACTTTTAATCATCTCAGCCACTTTGGATTTAATCCAGCAGCAAACTATTATTATATGTGCACAGCAGCACATATAAGGCTCTGAGTAAAGGGCCTACAAGCGTTTGTTGTTAGCCTAACCACCACAACTATACACCGAATACTGACAAGACAAGATAAGACAGAGCAGAGCGTACATGGAAAATATTAAATGACTAAAAACAGATAGGAAATTAATACAAGAAGCTCTTAGTCCCTTTCAGCTTTGGCATTTTGGCTCTATGAGCACATGGGGATGTTTTATTAGCCCCCAGGGGTCCATTTGCTCCATAGACACGCTTGCTTTCCTCTCTTCATAATATAGTTACTCTGGGTGGCATCTCCTTGGGTTCTTGTGCAGTGCTACAGTCCTTTGCCTAACGTAATAAACAGGCTTCTAAATCTGCTGTAATTATTGCACTTTATTGTTTGACTGTTCTTAAAATTCTCCAAAGAGCCTCCAGCTGAATCAAAATGCTCCGATTTTAATTCAGAACAGACAGATTGAACAGGTTTAAATTCTTTACCTACACATGAAACCCTTCCTTCAATTTTTTAAGATCCCCCAGTGTGATATTTAACAAACTGAGCACTTTACAATCAAACTACAAGTGTATTTGTGGTTCCTGGAGTTTCAAAAAATAGAATTGGAGGCAAAACCTTCAGTTATCAGGTCCGTCTGCTTCAAACCTTCTGCCATTATGCATCTAGTAACCAAATTCCATACCTTAATATTTGGCTTAAAGCTTTCTTATTTGATCAACCTTATAGTGAGGGATGGTTCAGGTTACCCTGAAACATTCCATAGATATGTAACAATAGCTACGACTGCTGGTGTACCTCCCATGATTCACCTCTCCTCACTGCTCTCTTTACTTGTCAATAACTTGTTAGTTTTTTTCTTCTTAGTATTTATCCCTGGTCAACGCTAAAGTGACCGTTGTCCCAGGTTTATGGCCTTCCAATCTCAGTCGGATCCATTTGAAGGTTTTTTCCATTTTTTCTGTCCACCGTCACCTTTGGAAAAAGCATTTAGTTTCCTCAACAGGTCCGCTTCTTTCTTAAAAACGGCTTTGTATGAATTAGACTAATTTGCCATTTAATGCATTGGTACCAATCGGTTTATGACTGTGCTACAATAGATTGAAGTGCCTTGAGAGTATATCTGACATGATTTAAAGCTATCTAAGCCAAATTGATATTAGTTTCTCTTGTGGGGATAGGATAATGGATGCCTAATGTACAGATACCACAGCTGATAGGATAGGATATAAAGGCTTACCTAAATACTGAGACACAAAAATGTTTTTACATCCAGGTCATAAAATTGCACAATACATTTTTTCACAGCTAAATACATGTTCATGAATTTGACCAAGCAATAGTTAAACAGTTTGATAAACTACCCATTGGTAACTGTGCATATGTTTAATGCATAATGCATTTTTTTTTGCTTGTTTTTTTGTTATTCTTTCTTTCCACAACTAATTAGCATCGGTGATACTGTCTCCTTGTGTTAACAAAGGACAGACTTTTTTCTCACATGAGACATTTGAGCACAGCAGGAGATTATAAGCTAATAACCGACAAAGTGATTGTGTTCCATTTAAGTGAAGAACTTCCAAGGTTCCCATCTTGCGCCTGCAGGCTCACGGCGGCAGTTTACTTTGTTGAAATTAGTTTCACGCGTGTTTTTTTTTACCCCCGCTGGGACGAATCTAAATGCTTGCTGTGAGAAGATCTAGAGAGCTAAGGCTGAGCCAGAAGGCAGCACAGTCAGCAGCACGAGGGACATTTTGTACACGACGTGTAAAAGGCACCTGCCACTTGCTCACTTTACTGTCTTTATCTTCCTGTTTCTTTTCTTTATGGACCTATCTGGAGTTAACTGTCGGAAATAAGTGCTTCTGAGACTCTTCATGACTCCTTGACAAGAACTATACCTAATCGTTACCTCAGTAGTTCCGATAGGGTGATCCAAACGTTAACAACTGCTGAATGGTGAAAATGAGAAACTTGGCCAGATTAAGGCAGAAATGTACTTTGATTACAATACAAAATTAACTTTTTCCATGTCACGCTTCCTCAAGAAAGTTCCATCTCAGCCAGTAGCAAATCCAGATGTTGAATGGGCACTTTCATTGTGATAGGTTAGGTTTATCTATTTTATCTTTATCTGGTTGATGGTAAGGTTGTCAATACTTAACAGCATTAGGTGGATTAAAATTAAGGTCAAGTTTTATTTTCTCCCCTTTGTTATTTACAGCCAGGTCAGCTAATTTTTTGTCTAATTTTACTTTAGGCCTGTGTAAATAAAATTAAATAAAACAAAAACACCCTTTTTCAGTGTCAGGACATAGAAATAGCTCTTGTCCTTACCAAGCCTCAAAATGACTTAAATACATTCTCAGATCAATAACAAAACAGAACTAATGACATATTACACTATCTATCTAAAACAAAATAAAACAAAATGCAAAACATATGGAAGAAAAAAAAGCAAAAAACATATGTTTTGTGTAATTTTCCACAGAATATTTTACGTGGCTATGCACAGGGTTTTCCCATTCAAAAAAGGGTTAGAGCAAGTTCATGCTTTAATGACCAAAAGAAAATCTGCACTCCCACTCAACCAGTTAAAATGTTCAAATGGTAGAGTAATTTGCTGTTTGACAGATGTCAAACTATTCTTTCGGAAGGCATTATGACATTGTGTACATGCCAGCGTACACAGATAAGGGAATAGATAAGGGAATAAAAACATGAAAAGCACAACATCTCTTCTTTAAGATTTCATTTGTTGGTTTCCTTTGTTGGCCTTTGACTACAATGCTTCACACTCATACAAATCGTAACAGGCATATCAGATTCTACTTTTAATATTACTATTATTACTTTTAATCATTATTACCGGTCTATTGTGCCCATGAGGACCCTGCTTATGTCAAGCTAGTACTTTCTTTGGAGACCCTAATTCATGCCCTACATCTTTTTCTTTAAATAGGATGATATGTGTTGTAATGCACAATAACCTTAGTTTTTATACTGCCCCCACAGAGCTAAATCACAACCATTTTATGGCATTTTTCTGAGGTTCTGTGCTCATCCTCAATAAAGGAGCTGCCTATAAACGCAAGGAGCAGCACTGTCGGCACCCTCGACCAGTTAAGTGAAGCCTCTTTTACTCGCTTTTTAGTAAATGACATGGAAATCTGTGGATTTTCTCACCCCTGCTTGTCGCGCACAAGAGGCACGAACAACTTTCACACATTCACTGATCTGTGTGGCTTTGAGAGACAAACCACAAGGAAGAACGGGCAGTGCATATCTCTCACTGAAAGATAAAGGAGAAGGTGGTAACGTTATAGTTGTGGCTGCATTGATTTTTCTCTACACGGGGGTTCATATCATGGACATCTACTGTATCACATCATACGTGTGAGTTTGGTGTGGCTCTATGCGAGTTCGCAGCCAACACATACACACACACAGAGGGACGTCAGAGGGGGAGGCTAATGGTCTCTCAGTTAAACTGATCATGGAAATTGCATTTATTTGACTCACTCTGTCTCCCTCAAACTCTTCCCTTCTCCAGTCTCCGTTACTCCTCTCGGATTTTCCTGCACTTTCACTTTATTTTAAAGCCCCCTTTCTCTTCATCTCTGCCTGTACCACCCCCTCTTCTTGCATTTCCTACAATGCACTGGAGACATTTGAATTTTTTTCAGCTTATCCTGCTTCAGTCGGCCTGTTACACCCCAGATGACATTTGAATGGGACTAAACGTCTCCGCCTTTGGCTGATGCGTTGTGAATGATCATTTGGCCCAACGTCTGTCATGTCTCTTGGGCTGCTTTATCTAATAACAACTTTTATCAAGTCTGTGCGACGAAACAAAAATGCTAAACTGGTAAGTAAAGTAAATGGGACAAATCTTTTCCTGCCACTTGTTGCTCTGTGATGAGCCCGCAGTACTGGGGCACTTTGGTGTCAATGGGTCAGCTCTTGCTGCAGCCTCTTTTTTCTTTTCTTTTTTCACCGTAAGCACAACCGAAGACGATTTCCGGCAAATGTGCGGAAAATACACCGCAGCCTCTCTCGGCAGCTGCTGTTCACACATACACTTCACAGCAGGAGTTTGTACGCCGAAAGCTGTGCTCGACTCATTAAATGCTCCGGCGCTCTGGCGGAACCTTGGCCGGGCGGAAGGCAGCAGGCAGAGGAACATCGCGCAGCGTTTCCTTTACGGTACGGGAGAAACAAGAGATGAGGCCCTCCCCCTGTTTTTGTGCTAATATCAGCATCACGCGCAAGTTCATTTCTGATGATCCACAGCATCAGTGGGCAAGTGGAAAGCAGATACTGTAACTACGGCAACTGTGTCCTGCTGGCTGTGTTAGACAACAATATCTAATAAGCATGACTTTGAGGTAATTAGGCGAGTTTCCTGCACAGCGGGACACAGAGCGAGCTGCCAACTGTCTTCCAGGAGAATAAAATCTATCGATCTGGTCTCTTTTTTCGCTCTCACGTTGTTGCTGTCAGTGTCAGTATCAGAGCCTCCATGTGAGCCTTTGCGGTCAGCAGTTTTGCATTTCTGTGAATGAAAACAGGAGTTGTGCCTGCTCTTTTAGCACAGAGTGCAGCACTCTCATTGAAAATGAACCTGCTTATCCCTCTGTTGTGTTCCTGTCGCCCCCCCATGAATACAGAACACAGCTGAAAAGTCTGAAACTTTCCCTTTCCACTAAAAAAGCCAGATGTTAGCAGATGTTTGTGGGTTG